AAAAAAAAAAAAAAAAAAACCAAACCAGGAATTCTTGAGACCTGGAAAATAACAGCAAAACCTTTTTTTTTTTTTTTTTTTTCCTACTCTGAGTATATTAAACATCTGAAAGAAAACTTGTTGTTTTTAAGTGCTTTAGAGTCAGTTCCTACTCATAGTGACCTTGTATAGGGTTTCCGAGGAGCGGCTGCTACGTTTGAACCACTGACCTTGTGGTTCAAACCTACCTTGCGGTCCAGTGCTTTATCCTACAGTGCCACGCTCCAAAAGAAAATTGTTATTGTTAAATGCCTTCAAGTAGGTTCCGACTCACAGAGAAAGAAAATGAGGTATAAAGACATTTTCCTTAGTGTTCACTACAATAAAACACTCTGCTTCATTAAGCTGCAAGACACAGGGTTGTCCTGGAAATCACCTTCTCCTCCTGCACCATGAAAGCTAAAGCCATGTCCACTTCGAAGTGTACCAAATGCGTGAGTCCTTTATGGGACGCTTGAGCAAGTTCTACATAAGGACTCCTGGCATGGCACTGTAGGATAAGCACTGGACTATGAATCACAAGTTTGGCAGTTTGAACCCACCAGCCACTTCTTAGAATCCCTTTAGTCATTATGAGTCGGATTCAACTCAATGGCACGTAACAGCAACATCATAGTGTGCTGAACAAATATTCACTCTTATTTACAATAAAGTGGGTGATGTTTCCCTGATTCCGTGGCCATTCCCCATCCTGTAGATCTCACCTCCTGGGGAGGTGGAGGGAGGGCATGTTTTCTTGAGGACTTGGAGGAAGGGCTCTCTGCTCTTCCTTCCCTGCCTTCTGTATTCTCTGGAAGATCTTAACAGCCTTCCTGGATCTTCCATCTCTTTCCCTGGTCTTCTTGCTTTGTAACTTGACAAATACCTAGCTTTGAGCCCCACTGAGGATCTGAAAAGGAACCTTGGTCAGACACGGGTTAAATCACTCCCCTGCTAACTGAAAGGTTAGTGGTTCAAACCCACCAGATGCCCCATAGAGGTTTTCATAACCAAGCCAACCCCATTCGATTCCAACTCACAGTCACCTTCTAGTTCAGAGCAGACCTGCCCCATAGAGTTTCCAAGGTTGTCAGTCTTTACAGAAACAGACTGCTTCATCTTTCTCCTGTAGAGCAACTGGTGGGTTTGAACCACTAACTTTTTGGTGGTGGTTGTCTTTGTTAAGTGCTGTTGAGTCAGTTCCAACCCATAGCAACCCTGTATAGGGTTTCCTAGGAGTGGCTGTTGAGCTTGAACCGCTGACCTTGTAGTTCAAACTGACCTTGCAGTTGAGTGCATTAACCTGCAGAGCCACACCAGGTTATAACCTTGGAAATCCTGTGCACAGTGCGGCTCTAGCCTAAAAGG